CTTGAAAAATGCAGAATTTGAACGTATTTTAAATTGATGTTTGTCTCTCCAACGTTGGTAAATTTTACTCTTCTATAGGGTAGCTGGCGCATGTACCACTCTACAAGGAATCATCAACGGTTGGCATGGGTTCTTCGAGGTGTTTACTCGAAGATGTGAAGAGGGCAGATTTTTTATTAAAATTAAACATATTTAATTATGTAATTCAATTGCTATCGGCCAGTGAGCGATGGAATCGAACTTTGAGAGTAACATTGCCCGGCATGCGTCCAATACCGCCCACCTTGTTCTGATGACTTTTTTAAGCAATGCACTGGGAAAAAAAATTACTTTTGCCAAGGAATCATTTTCTTGGGAGAAAAATTTATTTTTTTAGGAGCTTATTTCTCTAGGCCAGTCATTCCCAGGTGGTCCATGTCCATCTCTAAATATTACAATTATGTTGAATAATGAGATGATTATGCTACATATGACCTTGAATGAACATGCTTCATTATTTTTCAATTTTTTCAAATTCGAGGTTTTCTAACGTATAATAATTTGAAATAATTTTAAAGGTTAATAATTGTCAATAGAGTTCATTCAAGGTCATATGTAATATAATCATTCCATAATTGAACATAATTGTAATATTTAGAGATGGACTTGGACTCCTTGACAATGACTGGCCTGGAAAAATACGCTCCGCAAAAAATGAATTCTTCTCCCAAGAAAATGATTCCTTGGCAAAAGTAATTTTTTTTGTCTCAGTGTGCAGACCAACTGTTATAATTTTTCCTATTTTCATCCTTCGTTTCCGTTCATTGGCTCTATTTTGAAAAAGATTTCAAGTGATTAATAATAAATTATTCTGAATTTAGCCGATGTTCCAGTGGCCACCGACTACCCCAAACAATCGAGCTGTCACTCGAGGGCTCTCTAGCTGCAGAGTTTATTAGACCTCTAGAAACCCTAGGCGTCATTACCCACAAACTCCGGGCGGAATTACATAAAATAGGCCATAATAACTGATGAAGATATTTTTCTGCTATCGAAAAGGTCGCAATGGATGTGGAAATGTATAACGAATATATATTTCGCACTCCATTTAATTATGGACCAACTGAAAATTTGAAAAATGTTAAATTCTGAGGTCGAAATATTTTAAAAATTCAGTGGAAAATGATTTGGATTTTTTTAAATGATGTTTCCACGGGAGAAAATTCAAAATTTCTGTTGAAATTACTTGTTGTTATCAAATATTTGCATAATAAAAAAAGAAAAAAAAAGTTCTCAGCCAATCCTGGGAAATACGGATGGGCGGTAGTATCCGCTGAGCGGTACAGACACCATCTACCCTACACAGAAAAACCTAAACGTAAATTACGCTTAAGAAATCATCTTTTGCGCTTTCTGAAACGTATTTTACGGTTGAAGTTCAAGCGTAAATTACGCTCAAAATCGCCGTAAATAACGATTACATAAACGCAATTTTCGTGCGTATGACTCTAATGTCAATAGAAAAATATTAAACTTGCAGTTTCATGATGCGAATTATTATTTCAACTATTTCAATACAGGGCAATTCACCAACTGCTGCGGCCGATAAGCGCCAAGTGCATGAGTCCAATAAAAACTGGCGATGATAAAGCTTTATCCATGCGGAAATGTGATCCCATACATACAAGGGAATATACATTCGATGCCGTGCAATGATACATAGTCACTATTTCGGTATTTTCCACGAATGTCACCATTCCCCAAAATAATGTGAAGAGGTGAACATTTTTCTACGGGAGCGGACAAGCAAACCAACTGGCCGGGGAGGTTGCTTTTAATACGATTTGCTGTACGGTTCCGTTCTTCGGTCATAAATATCGATTACTGTTGTCTGTGAGCTTTCGACGCTTCAGGTGCTGTCCACCACCCTGCTGTCAACAATTGATATGATATATGAGTGCCAGTGTCACCACTGTCACACACATCTCCAGATTCCTCTTTTTTCCATACAACCTCATTTTCTCCTTCTGGCTCCTTTTTATTTTTGCATAATACTCTCTTTTTAGCCCCTCCCTGTCTTATTCCACTTCCGTTTTTCCACTTCTTTCTTCCAATAGTCACGATATATATAGGATAATAAAGGTTGGAAAAAGATCGTAACTCCAAGTACGGACGTTCCAACAATAAATTTCACATTGTCGAGAATTTTCTTTGTCGTACCTCCACGAGATACTCGACGCTCATGTCTCCCCGCTGGGGATCAGAGATAGGTGGAGTTTAATGCAAATTCAGGGAATTAGAGAAACAAAATACGATGGAAGTTTATGGGAGTTTTTTATGGTACATTCTTGATTAATTTGGGAAAGGAATAAAATTGATAAATGCTGCAACTGTTTTTTCGTTTTTTTAGTGAGAGCATTCTAGCGCATGTGTTGGATAATTCTATGGGTTTCGATCATAAATTCAATTTATTTCTGTGCCGATTTCCATTCTTCAGAATAGGAGTATTCGATAGTCAATAGTGGATGGAAAGAATCAATTGATTGTGATCCTTCTAAACGGAGAAAAATTTACTTCGAAAATTGGCATGCGCACTGAGAAAAAAAATTACTTTTTGTACAAGTCCATCTGCAAATATTACAATTATGTTGAATTATGGGATGATTATCTCCCAAGAAAATGATTCCTTGGCAAAATTATTTTTTTTTCTTAGTATAGTACCCTACGGATACTATACTAAGAAAAAAAAATCCCCCTACGGTGTATGCGTTTTCTCAATGAAAGAATTGAATGTCAGCATAATAAACTTCAAAGGATCTCGAATATTATTATATTATTTTCAGTATGATATTATATTATTTCCGTCCTATGTGAGCAGCAAAAACACCGAGGTTTCCAGCCCCGTACACAAAAAAAAAAGTTCGTATACCCTAATTTTCTCGGTAAATTTTTCTCCGTTTGAGGATATCCAAGTCCTTCGGCTTTTTTTTCTACAGTGAAATGCTTTGTTACTTTTGTAGTCGAGCATCAGAGCTTTCATCTGAGTCCTATTTCACTCCAAGTTTCCGGACATTTTACAATGATTTTATGATTCAAACTTAGCAGATCTGACTTTGAATCTCGATATTGAACCATTAGACAACATTTTAAATATCTGAAATAAAAATCGAAAGTTTACTTTTGCGGAAAGATTCACGAAATAATTTAAAAATTGCAATTTTTGAAGATTACTAGCATTTTCTATAAATAATTTATAAACAATCATTTTTCCACATAAAAAACAATTGTTCGAAAGCGCAACAAATTTATTCATATGCCGAATTTGACAGGAAATCGATTTCATGCCTAAAAAAGTTTTTCGAAAGTTTAAACAATTTCAATTACTTATTCATAAATAACGCATGTTTAGAAAAATAATAATTCTGTGCAAAATGTAATTTGAATGACGCTGAATATTCATGATTTTTTTTTCAATTTTCTCACGCATTTTAATTGACAAATTTGATGTTTGATAAAGGTTGAATTCATAGTGAGGGCTGTACCAAACTGGAAAAAATACTTGGATATCATTAAGAATATCCAATTACTTTAGCTATTTTTTCTACAGTAAAATGCTTCTTTATTTTTGTAATCGAACATCAGAGCTTTCATTTGAGCGCTATTTCACCCTAAGTTTCCGGACATTTTACAATGATTTTGTTATTTAAACTTTACAGGTCTAACTTTGAATCTCGATCTTGAACCGCCAGAAAACCTTCTAAAAATCTTCAAAAAACTAGAAAGTTTACTTTTGGAGAAAGATTAATGAAATGATTAAAAAATTGCGATTTTACTCATGACTTTTTTCAAATTTTCCTCACGCAATTTAGTTGACAAATTTGATGATGGAAAATAGTTGAATCTATAGTGAGGGCAATACCAAACTGTAAAAGATACTTGGATATCCTTAACCAATGTATTCTGTTGAAAATTTCGCCATATTCTACTATTTTTTCCGTTTTTCATCACAAAATCGAAGAAAAACGTGGGAACAATCATAATGGAAAATGATTTCAATGGAAAAAATCTCAAAATATAAGTTGCATAGAAAACCCAGAAGGTATAAATTTTTTTCTATCAGCTATTTGACCTGGAAAAGTTGTGATGGTGTCAACAGAAATCGTTGAAAACTAATGGAATTTCCAATAGAATTCCAATGAGATTCCGTAACGAATACGCTAGGATATATAGGTACTGACGGTTTGCGGAATACTTGGAACCAGAAGCGATTTTTTTATGACACATCAAATATTCACTCTTGTATTTCTCCACTTCCTCTAGTGAAACGTGGGCTACCCCTCCCGATTCAGCATGAACGGTTCGGCTCCCTCGTGCAACGTTTTCAATGCCTGAAATCATTTGTTAAACTAAACAACAACCATTGTAGCAAACGTTCTGCACAAATATTTACCGAATTTTAATCGCTTTTCTCAGTGATGAAAGTACGCAAATATTGACATTACTCAGGAAAAAACCGGGAAAACTGGCATCGACCCCCCCCAGAAAGCCAACATTGATATAAAACTGCCACATTGAGAATCCACATGATTAAAAATAATGAAATCTCACCATTTTGTTCGAAGTAACCGGGAGCAATTGTATCAGAATAAAATTAATAAATAAATTGTGGTAAATCGCCAAAATTGCTGGCTCCGCAAAAACAGTACGTACTCCTGGAAACGACAGTGCTATTTACTTGACGAGTGCAAATATCGTAATTACATCTGTGTGCATTATGCGACGGAATGAAACACCAGTGTCGTCGATCAGTAGCTATTTCCCCCAAAAACGCTGAATTACAGTAATAAACAAAACCCTTTTCACATTCCCATATTATCCATACAAATTGCAACAATTTACCCCTGTCATAACCAATATTTTCCAGCAAATACATGACACAATGTCATTCTTCAGAATTATCGTAATAATAAATATACCAATGACACATGAATAAACGAAAATTTATAATTTTAAATTTCCAGAGGTGTACGATTTATTGACAGCAGCCGTACTGACGAGTGAGGATAAGAATCAGTATGTTGATGATGGACTGGATGGTTTTTTGGCATTTGGCTTTCGTCCAGGATCGGAAGTGAAACAGCCCTATCGTCTCTGTCTGCCGGAAAAATTACCCGGTGAATTCACCATCGTAGCGACCTTCAAGCCAATATCCCTGAGGACCAGCTATCTATTTGCCGTTCTCAATCCTTTCGATACAATTGTCCAGCTGGGGCTTCGCATCTCCGTAAGTCAACATCACTTTTACTTTTTTTTGCTCACTGTCTCTCCTCATCCTCCCCCATTTTCCTCCACCTCTTATTCACTCGTCCATCCCTATATTTTTACCTCTATATTTCCTTGAAGTATCGTGTCAGACTAGCTCGTGCCTCGATAACTTTAACGTTGAGCACCATTCGCTACGTGTCTTGGAGTAAGAATGAGCCACAGTGAACAAGTTTCCGGTATGGAGTTTGAAAGGACCGGTTGATATTCTCATTCGATCTCATATCTCTGTAAAGACGTACGTCGATATCCAGTGATCCGCGACTACTCGGCTCGTTCATGCCTTCCAACTAGAGTAGTCGATGGATGGCAGGGTGATGGCGGGTTCAAACGTACCATTCAAGAAGTCTTGCATCACTGATCCTTGAAGTTCAGGTACTAACTCCAGCTCCCGTCTGTTTCTCCATCGTCGAATTTCCGGCTGACCTCTTAAATGCGTTTTTCATGTAACAACCCCTTTAGCTTCACTTTATAATACGCTTCGCGCCCGCCGCTGGATTAGTTCATACTATATTATTTTATATTATTCTTTTCACCTTTTCCGTCTTCAGGATTAGATTAAGTTAACTTTTACACTGAACCCCTCCCAAAACGCACGTTTACCGTACCCCTCGGTCTATCAGATCGCTACTCCGTTTAGTTACTGCATTTATCGTTTGTTCGAGCGAATGAATCAATACTTTTCGTAACTAAAGGTTGAAATGAGGGCTAAAACTGGGAAAGATCAAACAAGAAGAAGTTAAACGATGGAAGGGTCAGACGGGAAAGGGTTGGACAGAAGAGGCAAAACCTATCAGTATATTTAATTTAATTTGTTTTTCTTCGCACATAAATGTTTGTCATACATTTTTTCATCGAAATCTCGCCTGTTAATCCTCGATTATCGAATTAACAAAGATAGGACATTCATTATGAATAATTGGTGCCAATTATTATTTTTTATCAATTCCCTCAGGGAATAAATTAGAAGAAACATTGGTAGTTTCATGGATTTATCGGGGCGAAAAAAATAAAAAACGTTTTGTGTCATTGGGAATCGATGGAATGAGAAGCTACTGGAAGTTTGAAATTTTTCTCTTACATTTATCAACAGTTATACATTGTGAAAGTTTTGGTAGGGGTCCCACAGACCGGGAGTTCGGCCTAAAGGTTAATTCGATTCATTGTTATTCTTGAAATATATATATTTTTATCATCACACGAACGCCGTTTACGGACATTGTGAAGAAAAATTATGTTCGTCACTCGACCGAAATAGTATATTTCAGCACGTGTGGGGCAATTTCGTCTTTAACGTGTGTGGGGTTTACAGCATGAGCCGAAGGCGAGTGATGTAACCACACACGTTAAGGACGAAATTTCCCAACAAGTACTGAACAAAATTTTATGTCACGAAGCCTGAAACCGGCTGAATTAGACACGAGACGCGAAGCGTCGAGTGTGTAATCCAGCCGGTTTCAGGCATGAGTGGCATAAACATCTTTTCTGACTCGTGTGATTGCATTCCTCGGACTTGCCTCGGTCTGCAAGCCTCACACTCGTCAGAGATGGTAAAGCTGCACCTTTTGTGGCCCTACCAACGAATAACCCCACCAAATATTTTTTCGAATAATGAAATAATACCCATCAATTCGATTTCTATCCTTGTTTTTTAATAGAATGATGAATGTAATGAATGACATTAAATAGCAAAAATCGCAAATTGGCGACTGAAAATTTTTAAAAAGGAATGATCGGCTAGAATGGAGAAGATGTATTTTTCTTCATTTCAGTGGGTGGAAACTTGAAATCACTGCATTTCTTCGAATATGAGCACGATATAACCATTTTTTCATTTCATGATCTAATTTTAACGAGAAGAAATGAAAAAAAATAAAAAAGAAACGTTGGCGAGAAGAAATAAAAAACTTAGTTTTTCAATGTCTCCGGAAAGTTTTAAAATCGATATATTTTTGCGAATAATGGAAGAATACCCATAAATTCGATTTCTATCCTTGTCCTCTGATAGAATGCAAAGAATAAATGACAGAAATTATTATGTAATCATTATGTAATCATTTCGTTTTCTTTGATTCAGGATGGACCGAGCCCGAATCAAAATGTCTCGCTTATCTACACCAACTCCGATGAGCACTCGCACTCGGAGGAAATAGCTCAATTCACAGTGCCAAAGTTAGTTAGAAAATGGTCAAAAATTGTCATCAGAGTGTCAAGCACTGACGTTGCACTTTATCTGAACTGTCACGAAATGGCTAGACAGCGTGTCACGAGAATTCCCCAGGAGCTTGTATTCGATACTGCAAGTGCACTCTACATTGCCCAAGCTGGACCACATATACAGGAGAAGTATGACGTAAGTAGAATTTTTTTTCTCTCATTCTTTTAAAATAACCAACATTTTCTGATCGAAATGGAGTCTCGATGTATGTGAAATATTCAGGAGAAAACGAAAATCTCTCAAGCATTGACAGAGGTTAGGTCTGTTAGGGACAATATTAGATAAATCATTAAGTCTTGCACACCGTGGAAAGACGTCGAACCTTTACTAGGGAGGGCACCCAAGTGGATTGGAGATGAAAAACGACAATGGAAAGGACAATTTCCAAAGGACTCTGCCGATCAACGGCAGCCGGGTCCATTCTATTCGCTGAGAGAATTTATACGATGGCTGAAGGGGGGAGGGAAATCTGCGAATAAGGGTAAAAAATGAGGCGCTCCAATGAGAAGCATAAAAAGTAAAAAAATGTAACTTTGAATATAACTTGAGATCAAATTATTCTCGAATTTCTAACTCATTCCGATAGCTCCAGTTTCTTCATATTCAATGAATATGGAAATGACGATAATAACTTGCATTTCGAAATTCAATCAGTCAAATTGAACATCACAGTTACTCGAATTTTCAACCTAAGTGCTCATAGAAGCATTACGTGGTACATTTCGGGTGGAACTTCCATCAGTAATCGTCAAATATTAAATGAATAGACTCGAAAGTATTGGATTGTGCAGAGGAAAATTTAGAGTCGCACTAATAGACGGATTTAGTTGCTGTGAGCGCGACTTCTTAATTGATTACCGCGATTCGTTAATAGTTAACGAATCCTGTTAATAATTAAGAAGCTTCATTACCAGCAACTAAATCGTTCCACCTTTTTTATCAGTGCACGGAGAGTCATAATCCGCTTAAGCATTGAATACCAGAAATAATTACATGAATATTACAAGTAGACGATATCAAGTGGGTCAGCTGGTAACATTTCACTATGGTAAACCCAATGAAAAGTACGATAATAACTTGCATTTAAATATTCAATCAATCGAATTGAACATCATATTTAATGGAATTTTCAACCCAGGGGGTCATAGAGAAGTATTACGTTGCACATTTGAGGTGGAAATTCTATCAGTAATCTTCAAAAATTAAATGAATAGACCTGTAAATATTGGATTCTGCAGAGGAAAATCTGGAGTCGCACTGATGGATTTCGTTGCTGTGAGCGAGACACTTAATTAATTACCACGATTCGTTAATGGGGCATTCCATGCTATTTGAATCAAATCGAAAGACTTTTTTTTCAAACTTGAAGAAAAATTGAATGTATTGTCGATTTATCCCATGCGTGCCTTGGATTGTTATTAAATAATATATTTCGTAACGAGTGCAAAAAACATTTTTTCTCGAGTGACGAACAATATTTTTCATCACAATGTGGCGGAAACTGGACTTTTAGGCACGCGGAGCGTGCCGAAACGCTCACTTTTCGTCACAGCGTGATGAAAAAAAAAATTCGAAGTTATGCGAAATCAAAATTTCAGGATGGTCCGGGGGAGTTATTTTAAAAAAAATTATAACTTGACAAATATGAATTTTATCGAAGAAATGCAAAAAAACTTTTTTAATCAAAACAGGCGTAAGTTTCGGGGAAAAAATCCAGAGTCGAAAAAATTTAATTTACAATGAATTAATCAACAAACCACTGTAAAAGTTAACAACAAATCATAATGGCATGTCGCGAAAAATTCGAAAAAAAAATGTTATAGACTAGGGATCGAAGAATTACCGATAAAATTGGCGTTCACTAATCGCCAGTCGTTCTCGAGATATTGAGTTTTTGAAAATTCAATCAGTCGAATTGAATATTAAATTTAATCGAATTTTCAATCCAAGGAGTCGTCCAAGTATAACGTGGCAAATGTCACGTGGAACTTCTATTAGAAATATCCAAAGTATGAAATCAAAAGACCCAAAAATTGTGGATTGTGTGGAGGCAAATCTGAAGCCCCACTGCTAGATTTAGCTATTCTTAACGAAACTTCTTAACTATTACCACGATTCATTAATAGCTAACGAATCGTGATAATAGTCAAGAGGCTTTATTATCAACTAAATCGTTCCAGCTTTTCTAGAAATGAACTGAGAGCCATGGTCGGATTAAGTATTGAATACCAGAAATAATTAAATGAATATTACAGGTAGACGATATCAAGCGTCTCTGCTTTTCGCTGGTACCGCCTGACTGTGGTAAACCCACATATACAGCCACCTCTCCCTTTAGTATTAGACCACTAGACGGGAACTCATCCACAAAAATTTATAGATGAGTATATTTCCCGGGCAAGTGAGATCGTCGTTACCCACATCCTCTCCTCCCCACCCCGTTCATCCTTTCACTCATACTCTCCATTTTGATTTCCAAACGGTGCAATCGTCATAGCGAAACGTCAAGCTAACTGGATCTACTTATGTGTCACCGCGAAAAGAGGACACCTGCGGTTATTCCTGTGCGAATGGGTTCAACGTCATCCATCCATGGGCTTCCACAGAAGTCGGAGGATTTGTGTGAAGTCACTTCCATCCACATCACCTCCTGTAAATTTAAGCCTGACATCCGTAATGTATTCATCTGTTTTTGCCATCATCTCTCTATTTTTTTTTGCCTGCACTCACATGTCAGTGTCCATCAATATCATGCTCTGTCGATGGAGGGTATTTCGTACACAATTGATAGCCGCTCGTCCGTTACTTCGTCAATGTCAATTCGGAAAAACACGACGAGCACTTCTGAATTAATTAAAATAAATTCAAAGGTGAATTGTTTCATGTACAATGGAAGGGAAAAAAGAGAAAAAGTTGGCAGGGTATGAAACAAGAAGAAAGACATTAGAGTTTGGACAGTGCGCAACAGAGATTGTATTGCAGAGAGGGCGATCGCAAACTCTTCTCCTTCAACTCACTGATAATGTCCTTTGAGTCCAGGCGGTCTTATCGTACGTCCAATGTCGTACTCCACCCATTCCATTTCGCTCTCTTCTCTCCTCCCCTTCTCTACATCTCTCTGCTCATCTCCTTTTACTTGACTTTTTGATGTCTTCTTGGGATAACAGTCCGGGAGGACGATGTTTCGAATCAGAAACTTGGGGGAAATTCGCTTTCAAACTAATCTCAATAAAGTATCCAGGAGTTAGATTTGGATCGCTCGAGTCACTGTATCATCTGATTGTGTAGTCTTGTGCCAACAGTGGGGGCGATGTTGAGACGATTTGAACTTATTACAAGGATCATTTATCAGGGCTTGATATTGACATCGTGTGTACTTCGTCATTGACTTTTATTAGAGATTACATAAATATATCCGCATACACGGAATCACTACATAAAATAGATGTCTGAATTTAAGACATCTGTTGTAGGCAACTTTCAGACACCTTCCGTAAATTCAGACATATATTTTTTTGCTGTCATCGTGTGACGAAATGCTTATTTCTGAAATTCTTAGGGAAATTCAGTAAAAACTGTCCGACAAGAATGAATTTTTCATTTCGAGACTAGAAATATCAATGAATTGAAATGCAATTTCAGCTAAGGTATTAATGTTCGTGAGTGTTCGTGGAGAAAATAGATTGTGACGGATGGATTTCCTGCCCTTTTCGCAGTATATTTTTACATTTGTCCGTTCCTTAAGTTTTCTATCGACCTCGGACTCATACAAACGAACGGGGGACGCCCGCGCGACGAATAAAAATTACGCTTTGACTATCAATTTTTCCGTGCAAAGAGATCCAAATTTTCGGTAATACTTTCTGAAATTTTGGCGCAGAAAACTAAAATTGATCATCGACATCATGCCTCACTATTATTTTCGAAAGCGCAATTTTTCACGGTTTTTTTCCATGGTACTGTTTTTAACATTTTGTTCTCTCTTTATATTGAGTGTTTTGGAAATTTTCATCACATTTTAGTTTCACTGAAATTTCAAGGAATTTCGTCATAAAAAGTTTAGAATCTTATGGAAAATTCAATGAGAACTGTTAATTTCAATTCTATTATTCCCTGACAATTAGTACCTAGAAATCAGGAAAATTTCGCTGAATATATTTTTGAATTTTCAATTAATTGTCAATTCTCATGTCAATGCTGGTCAAAACTGCATGAATTACGTAGAATGTTGTATACTGTAATTACCCTAGTGGAAAAACCTAAGGCCGAGGCGTAACACGCTTGATCAGAATTTCGGATCGGACTTGATCAGTTTCTGATCAAGACCTGAACAGAATTTCCACTCGGGTATGAGTCAATTTGAGAGTGAAATTCGTAAGTATCCTGATAGCTCAGATGGTAAGAATATCCGACATACTAGATAATGCGGTAATTAACTCACTATCAATTGATATTAATATTTTACTCAGACAAGGAAGGTTTAAAAAACTAAAAAAAATAGGGTCTTCATAATCCTATTTTATCTCTCTTTAATCTTGTANTAACACGCCTGATCAGAATTTCGGATCGGACTTGATCAGTTTCTGATCAAGACCTGAACAGAATTTCCACTCGGGTAAGGAAGAATGTTTGATGCAATTTGACAACCTCTTCAGACTTTAGGCGAGACAACAAGTTATTACCACAACTGCATCCATGGACGACTTTAGAGTTATTTCTAATACGGATATTACTTATTTTGGAGAATTTGCAGAATGGATGGGCTGGATAATTGATCGAGATAGCAGAAATGGATGTGATTTATCCTTCCACTTTCTCTCTCTCCATTCCAATCTAAAACTGATGAGAGTAAGACTGATATGATTGAGAAATGGGAAGTTTCCCTAATTACTAAATCACTTTTTCGCGTGGGTTACCGTTCAGAAATAATCGAGACATCCGTTCAGAGTTAATTGAATTTCCAATTGCAATTTTCTGTCACCCCGACCAAGCATTAATGACCAACTACTTCACTAATCATTCCTAATTGTTATTTGGAAGAAATTCCACTAACCATTCGATAATTAGTTATTTTTATAAGTTAATGAGACGCTGAACTGCCAGGGGTCACTCGAAAATTGAGGTACCTCAGTTTTTTCGTTCACTTATTTTCGTTCAATTAGGGAAGAAAGACTGGTGGAAAATCTTGGAAGTGATTTGGTCAAGAGATGCCATCTTAACCCTTCATTATTTCAGATGTAGCTTCACGGAGAGAAATATTCAATAAAAATTACGTATCTTTTCCG